GCTGGAGACCCTGGGTCTGGGGGTGTTGCTGCTGGAGATACTGAGGCTGGAGACCCTGGGACTGGAGGTGCCGGTTCTGGGGGTGCTGCTGCTGGTGGAGCTGGTCCTGGAGGAGCTGGAGCTAAGGGTTCTGGAGCTGCTGGAGGTGCTGGAGCTGCTGGTGCTGGTGGCACTGCACAGCCGCGCCTGTTCTTTGCTCCACCGTCTCCGTCGTCTCAGCCACCGTCTGACTCTGTGCTTCGCCAGGTTCTTAGTCTCCCTTCGTCTACTGGTCTTCCGTTACAGCCTGGCTCATTGCTGCCTGCTCCTTCTCATTACACTGAGCAAACAGGGGGTCTTACTGAGCGTCGAGAGCCTGCGTCGCGCCCTGTCTCGCCTGTCCGTTCTGGTCGTTCCGGTCGTCGTGTTCCTCGTTCGCGTCAGCCGGCTGTCCCCGGCACCCACCTCGTAGTCCATCGTCCTTCCTCTCCTCCGCAGCGTGTTCCCCTGCCGTCCCCTCCTGCGTCTTCTCTGCCTACCATTCCTGAGCCTGAGTCTGACCGCACCCGTGCTGCTCACCCTACTGTCACGCGTCTGCTAACCACAGTTGTCACTGACCCGTCGTTTGAGTCTGCTGCTGCGTCTGCCTTAGTCGCTGAGCTTGTTGACTTTGCTGCTGCTTGTCGTCTAGACTACGCCGCTAGTCTTGTTGCTGAGTCTGAGTCTGTCTGTCCTCCGTCCGTCGGGGGTGAGTGTGCTCTTGGCACGGACGTCCTTGAGGATAGGCACGAGGACCTTGAGTGTCTTGCAGCCGCTGCGCCTCATCTCGTGTCCATGCTGCTTGCCCCTGAGGGAGACCCGGATGCTCCAGACATCCCGACCCCGCGCTCTTACGCTGAGGCGATCGCGGGTGAGTACTCCTCTCAGTGGTAGACAGCCATGGACGCAGAGATGGCATCCTGGAAGTCCACAGGCACTTACGTTGACGAGGTTCCCCCTCCTGGGGCGAACATCGTCGATGGCATGTCGATTTTCAGGGTGAAGCGGCCGCCAGGTTCTCCGCCTGTCTTCAAGGCTCGTTACGTTGCTCGAGGTTTCAGTCAGCGAGAGGGAGTTGACTTCTTCCAGACCTTCTCCCCCACCCCGAAGATGACCACTCTTCGGGTGCTGCTGCACGTTGCCGCTCAGTGTGACTACGAGCTTCACTCTCTTGACTTCAGCACAGCTTTCTTGCAGGGCAGCCTGCACGAGGAGATCTGGCTGCGCCGCCCGCCTGGCTTCACTGGGTCGTTTCCTGCAGGTACCCAGTGGAGCCTCCGGCGGCCGGTCTACGGTCTCCGCCAGGCGCCACGTGAGTGGCACGACGCACTGAGGACGACACTTGCGGCTCTTGGGTTTGCTCCGTCGACTGCTGACCCGTCGCTGTTTCTGCGCACCAACACTTCGCTGCCTCCGTTCTACATCCTCGTGTACGTCGACGACTTGGTCTTTGCCACTGCTGACACTGAGGCTCTCGCCCTGGTGAAGTCGGAGCTGTAGAAGAGACACACGTGCACAGACCTGGGTGAGCTGCGCAGTTACATTGGCTTGCAGATCACCCGGGACAGAGCACGCCGCACCATCACACTGACTCAGTCACACATGGTGCAGCAGGTCCTTCAGCGCTTCCGCTTCACCTGGTCCTCGGCACAGGCCACTCCTGTGGCTACAGGTCACTCACTCTCAGCTCCACCTTTGGACGAGTCCGTAGAGCCGAGTGGTCCTTACCCAGAGCTAGTTGGCTGCCTCATGTACCTGATGACCTGCACTCGTCCTGACCTCGCGTACCCTCTTGGCCTTCTGGCTCGCTACGTGGCTCCTGGTCGGCACCGAAAGGTGGACATGGATGCTGCTAAGAGGGTACTGCGCTACTTGTGCAGTACATCGGGCATGGGGCTCGTGCTTGGAGGACGGGGCGACGTTGTCCTCACTGGTCACTCGGACGCTTCTTGGGTTGACGATCAGGCTACGCAGCGGTCGTCACAGGGTTACACCTTCAGCCTTGGCTCTGGTTCAGTTTCTTGGCGTTCTACACGCTCGTCTTCAGTTCTCAGCTCCAGTTGTGAGGCTGAGATGTACGCCACAGCCATGGCTGCACAGGAGTTACGCTGGCTCACCTACCTGCTGACCGACTTGGGAGAACGGCCTCGTTATCCTCCAGTGCTGTACGTCGACAACAAGGCCATGATTGCCTTGTGTCAGGAGCACAGACTGGAGCACTGAACGAAGCACATCGCTCTGCGTTACTTCTTGGCTCGAGAGTTGCAGCAGCGTGGTCAGCTTCGTCTTGCTCACGTGGCCACTCGGGCCAACACTGCTGATATATTCACCAAGGCACTTCTGTCTGGTGATCATCAGCGTTTTTGTACTCTGTTAGGCCTTGTGCCTACGTTTCCTCACTTGCTGTAGACTTTGTCTGTACTGTGATATATATATATACATATATATACCTGCATGCTTGCTCTACTAGGTAGAGATCACTGTGCTGTTGTTGTTGCATGTATACCTCTGCATGTGAACTGGCCTTGTGGCCCCTTTGCTTGTACTCAGTGTGTGTGGTGACGTTGTAATCCACCCTGAGCTTGCTTTGCTTCTCTTGACTGGTCTTGTGACCCATTGCTCTCCCCCACTTTGCCTATGGGGGTGTGTCAATTATATGCATGTTATATCTGTTTAGGCTGTAGTGGGGTAGCCAATGTAGGGTACAACCCCTTAGGGTTCTCATCCTTGTACCCAAAACTTCCTCGATAGTCAACCATCCCTACCAACCTACTCTAACATATTGGTTGCCTATCCTTGAACAGATTTAGTCCGTTTTGCGCACCGACGCTTGTCTACCTATCCAAATCAGTTGTGAATGATCTCAAACCCGGACAGGCTCACCTAGATACATATTAGAGGCTATTCGTGTAAAGAAACGGGAGTTAAAATAAGTGACGGACCTCTAGACTGCTGATAGTGATGCCTATCCTTGAACATATTTGGTCCGTTTTGCGCACCGACGCTTGTCTACCTATCCAAATCAGTTGCGAATGATCTCAAACCCGGATAACCTCACCTAGATACATTTATTTGAGGCCATTGGTGCAAAGAAACGGGAGTTAAAACAAGTGACGGGCCTCTAAACTGTTGATAGTGTGATGGCTGCCTATCCTTGAACGGATTTTGTCCGTTCTGCGCACCGACGCTTGTCTACCTATCCAAATCAGTTGCGAATGATCTCAAACCCGGACAGCCCCACCTAGATACATATTAGAGGCTATTAGTACAAAGAAACGGGAGTTAAAACATGTGACGGGGCTTTAAACTGCTGATAGTGTGTTGGGTGTCTATCCATGAAACTGTGCAGGGATAGGCATGTACGCAACATGTCACCGTTTAATCATCGGGACGTCTCCTTTAGCCCTATTTCTCCTCACATTCAGGTAGTTTGTCCTATTAACTAGCCAGAGGAACTGGTTTGAGATCATGCGCACAACTACGCAACACATGACGCTTGTTTGTGCGTTTGATGGCATGAAGCTGTGCAAGGATAGGCATGTACGCAACATGTCACCGTTTTATCGCCTGGATGTTTTGTTTAGCCCTATTTCTCCTCACATTCAGGTAGTACATCCATTTCCTTAGCCAGAGGAACTTGTTTGAGATTATTCGCACAACTACGCAGCACGTGACGCTTGTTTGTGCGTTTGATGGCATGAAACTGCGCAAGGGTAGGTCTGTACGCAACATGTCACCGTTTAATCACCTGGATATCTCTTTTAGCACTATTTCTCCTCACATTAAGGTAGTTTATCCTATTCACTAGCCAGACGAACTGGTTTGAGATCATGCGCACAACTACGCAACACATGACGCTTGTTTGTGGGTTTGATGTCATGAAACTGTCCAAGGAGAGGCATGTACGCAACATGTCACCGTTTAATCGTCTGGATGTTTTTTTAAGCCCTATTTCTCCTCACATGCAGGTATTACGTCTTATTCCCTATCCAAATGATATTGTTTAAGATCATTCGCACAACTACGCAGCACGTGACGCTTGTTTGTGCGTTCGATGGCATGGAACAGTGCAGGGATAGGCATGTACGCAACATGTCATCGTGAAAAAAATGTATCATTGTTTAATATAACGCTCGCAGAAGTCTAATGTAATCCAATACATGTATAAGTTTTTTCTAGGCATGAGAACAAAACAAGAGCACAATTATATCACAAACTGTATTTGATTCCACATTCAAAGTTTCCCATCTGTGTACTACTATTACGTGTATCCAATTCCAACAGAGCAATTTCGGACGGGCCTGTTCGAAATTGTCACGCCAGCCCTGTTCCAGGCCTCCATCGAGGGTACCGAAGCTGTGATGTGCCGCCGAAGCTGCGTTGGGGTTGTCGATAACCTAAATCTATGCCCAAGCACTTTCGAGAGTTCTGAAGGTACTTGGGCTGGTTTCGTTTCGACGCGTCGCGTCGAAAGTAGGTTTCCCCACTCAGATGCCTGTGTTACTTCAGACATACTTTACGAAACCCTACTTTTCGGGGGCCCCCATTTTTGTGATGGTCGCCTGTGCGAGCTGAGCACGATGCGGCCCCGCCACCTCGATTTCACCGCGGGAGATGCTCCACCGCAACCCCCGCAACCCGCGCAACCCGCGCAACCCGCGCAACCCGCGCAACCCTCTCAACCCCCGCAACCCGAGCAAACCGGGCAACCGCCGCAACCCGCGCAACCCGCGCAACCCGCGCAATCCCCGCAACCCGCGCAACTCGCGCAACCGCAACCCCAGCAACCCGCGCAACCCTCGCAACCCGCGCAACCCTCCCAACCCTCACAACCTTCGCAAGCGGCGCAGCAGGCGGCGCTGCAGTCTCAACAGCCGCAGGAACAGTCGCCGCATTTGTCACTAGAAGCACCATCCGCAGACTTGGCGAACCCTGAGGGCGCACGGAGAAGGCAGGGTGTGGCGGCGGAGACAGCAGGGCGCATGGCAGGCGGTGGTGATGTGCGGGAAGCAAGCGAAAATCAACGACAGGAGCAGCAGCAGCAGCAGCAGCAGCAGCAGCAGCAGCAAATGGGAGTAGCAGCGGGTGAGGGGTTGCTGCACAGCCGGAGCGTGCAGGAAATGCTGCAACCTCCGCTGCCCCAAGCCTTGCCTGCGCCCGTGCCTGCAGGCGGCTCGGCACGTGAAGCGAGCATGGCATCCCTGCTCACCCCACCACCGGCGGGTGCAGCAGCAGCAGCCCCAGCGGCATCATCACCAGCATCGCTAGCAGCAGCAGCATCCCCAGCAGCAGCAGCGCAGGCGGCAGTGTTGGGAGTGCCATCAGCGCAGTGCGTGCCCATGCCAGCGGGCATGGCCATGGGTGTGCCCGTGCCCCTCGCCGTGCCCCTCGCCCTGCCAGCCCCCCTGCCGCTCGCTCCGCCCCTGCAGCCGTCCTCCTCGCCCTTCACCACGTGCGCTCCTGCCTCTCCTGTTGCACCCCCCCTCCCTTCCCCGCCTCTCCTCTTGTTCGCTCCTGCCCTTCATCCTGCATGCCTTGCCTTCAGTCCTGTCCGTCGCTCTCATGTTCGCTGCCGCCCCGCAATCACCCCTCGGACGCTACCACGTGCATCTGGCACGCTCTCACTCACCCGCCCTGCACGCCCTCCTCGCCCTGCACGCCCTCCTCGCCCTGCACGCCCTCCTCGCCCTCCCTGCGTGCCCCACCCCTCCCCTGCGCGTGTGTGTGTGCGCCACGCCACACAGGGGCAGCAGGAAGCCACGGGGCGATAAGAAGGACGCGGCCACGGCAGCAGCCGTGCTGGCAGCGGCGGCGGCACGGGAGGCAGCGGGGGGTCCCGGGGGAGGCACGCCTCCGCGCAAGCGCTCGTGCAACTGCCGCAACTCGCGCTGCCTCAAGCTGTACGCCCTCCGCCCACCTGCCCTGCTCGTGCACCACCTGCATCCTTCTGTGTCTGCCATTTTAGATGGGTGGAGAGCAGCGGGGCAGGACTTTGGCTTTCTTGTGATGGCACGGCAGGGCCATGCCTGCAATGGGCTTCCTATTTCTCCCCAACTTCCTCGTTTCTACTCCGTGGTGGCTGGCAGGTACTGTGAGTGCTTTGCGGCGGGGCTGTACTGCGAGGGGTGCAACTGCGTCAACTGCTGCAACTCGCCCGCCAACGAGGCGCAGCGCCACGACGCCGTGCTCGCCGTGCTCGACCGCAACCCCAACGCCTTCCGCCCCAAAATCGCCCCCCACAGCCCCTCCCACGCCCCCGCTTCGGTGCGCCCTCTCATCCCCCTCTCAGCGCCCCCTTGCTCTCCCACTCTGCGCACCACCACACTTGTTGCACCACACTTGTTGCACCACACTTGTTGCACCACACTCGCTGCACCATACTCGCTGCACCACACTATGTTCCTTCTGCACGTGGCAGACTAACTAAGCGAACAAGGCCGGCGATCAGAGTTGAGCTCTCTCGTGGCTGTAGGCTCTTAGCAGCACATCCAACTCACTGCTCTTAGCAGCACATCCAACTCACTGCTCTGATCGCCGGCCTTGTTCGCTTAGCCCATCACGTGCAGAGGGAACGTAGTGAAAGCAAGGCGTCCACGACTGAAGAACGTACTGTATAGAAACCATATTCCAAACCCGCCTCCCACAGCATGGCACACCCCCTTCAACCCCAATCGTCTTTGCCCTGCCCCTACCCAGTCCCTCCTTTCCAATGCGTCCCACCCCCCACTCACACCCCCCCCTGGCAGCAGGGCGAGGCGGCGCGCGTGCACACGCCGGTGGCGGGGCGGCACCGCGCGGGGTGCCACTGCCGCAAGAGCGGGTGTCTGAAGAAGTACTGCGAGTGCTTCCAGGCCAACGTGCTGTGCGGCGCCAACTGCAAGTGCGCCGACTGCAAGAACTTCGACGGCAGCCTCGACCGCCAGGCCGTTGTTGCCGGCCTCGCTGCTGCCGCTGCTGCCGCTGCCGTCACGCCCATCAAGTTTGAGGTGCGGGAGGGACCGCAGTGCTGCCACCACACCCCCGCATTGCCACCGCTTCTCCTTCCTCTCGCTTTCCACCTTTCCCAGCCCCCTTCCGCTCTCCTCTCTCGTACCCCTCACTTCCTTCCCCCGTGTTCCCCTCCATCTCCCATCTCATCCCCCCCCAGATGTCGGCCTACCAGCGCATGGTCACCCCCACCAAGGCGTCCGCCTTCACGCCTCCTGCTGCACGCCCTGGCCTGCACTCCCACACATCCCCGCACGCCCACGCACATGCTCGCACACCCTCTCACTCGCTCGCTCACTCGCACTCCTACCCTCCCTTTCGCCCCCACCACTCGCCTGTGCCTGCCCATGCTGCTGCTGCTGCTGCTGCTGCTGGGGGTGCCATGGGCGGTGGGATGGGCGGGGCATGGGATGGGAGGGGTGGGGGACACGCGGGTGGGCATGTGGTGGCGGGAGGGAGTCCCGAGGGCAGCACCATGCGCATGCACCCTCCTGCCGCCTTGAGGTACGCGCTGGCTGACCTGGGAGGGAGTGAGGTGTGGGCAGCAGATGGTGTGTTTCCCTTGAGTATCACGGGAATGCAGGTTTGGAAGCATGTGGGATGATGTGGCTGTTGCACAGCTCAGCTCGATTCGATGGTGGGTCATATATACAGAGGAGGGCGGAGGGAGAGCAGAGCAACCACACCCAAGTGAGCTCATTGGTTTCACCAAGTGCAGCGTGCACATTGCACGCACACACGCAATACGGCCAACCGTTCAGAATTGATGGCTTTTTGTCCATTTCCCGCGGTTTTATCGTTTTCTCCTCAAGCTTCCCTCAGTTCCTCGCCCCTTTCATCTCCTTTCCATCCCCTCGTCCCTTTGTCCATGCCACCCCTCACTCACCCCGTCTCCTCTCACTCACCCTGTCTCCTCTCACTCACCCTGTCTCCTCTCACTCACCCTGTCTCCTCTCACTCACCCTGTCTCCTCGCACTCACCCTGTCTCCTCTCACTCACCCTGTCTCCTCTCACTCACCCTGTCTCCTCTCACTCACCTTGTCTCCTCTCACTCACCCTGTCTCCTCTCACTCACCCTGTCTCCTCTCACTCACCCTGTCTCCTCTCACTCACCCTGTCTCCTCTCACTCACCCTGTCTCCTCTCACTCACCCTGTCTCCTCGCACTCACCCTGTCTCCTCTCACTCACCCTGTCTCCTCTCACTCACCCTGTCTCCTCTCACTCACCCTGTCTCTCACTCACCCTGTCTCCTCGAACCCCTGCCGGCCCAACCCCCCCCTCCCCACATGCCCCCCAGGTCGCCCCCCCCGCACCCCCCCATGGTGGGCCTCTCCCCCTCGGCGCGCTCGCCCCTCTCCGCGTGGGCGGCGCGGCGAACGTGCATGCTCATGGTGGCGCTGGCGTGGGGCGTGCAGCACGAGTACACCGCGAGCAGTGAGTGGCATGTCACACGTCACTCATATGCCTCTCTTGCCACCCATTCGCACGCTCGTCGCTCGCTTGGAATGTGAAATGCTTATTCTGCCTTCCAATCGGCCTTGTTATGGTCTGCGCTCTCCGTCTGCGCTCTCCCTTCGCCCTCTCTCTCAACTTGTCCGTCTTATGAGTTGCGTGTGAGTGCATCGAAGACCAGAGCTGGTGAGTGCATCGAAAACCAGAGCTGCACTCATCCAAGCGCTGTTGAAGCCACGCAACCAAGTGCTGCACTCACAACATACGCAAGAGCGGCATCACATCACGGGCTCCCCCTACGTTGGCATATACGCGTATAGCGTATATACGCGTGTCGTATATATGCTTGCGTTTATACTCTATACGCTAAGGTCTTGAAACCGGGGATACTCTATTTCGGGCAGGTTAAAAAAAGTACGGGCAGGTAGAAAAAATCCTCCCTGATGTACTTCAGGGTTTGTTTTTCTGGTTTTTTTTTCCCGACTCATATTTTTGTACCAACAAGAGTACAATGACAACTACTCATCTCATTCATACTACTACTCATGCGACTCCTCACCCAAGCATCAGTTTCGCCACCTACTCATACTCATCCTCTAGAATGCCGTCTTCCGCTTCCTCCTCCTCCTCCTCCTCCTCCTCCTCCTCCTCCTCCTCCTCCTCCTCCTCCTCCTCCTCCTCCTCCTCCTCCTCCTCCTCCTCCTCCTTCCCCTCCACCATATCTAAGTTGTTAAATACGCTCAACCCCTTCAGCGTATAGCGTACATATCTAAGTTGTTAAATACGCTCAACCCCTTCAGCGTATAGCGTATGTACGCTAGCGTTTGTACGCTATGCGCTATACGCCCGCGAATACGCTATACGCTTTCAGAAAATTTTCCGGGCTGCCCAAAACAAATATCGCGAAATAGTTGCGGAATTTCTAGGTGAGCATTCCGCCGAAGTCGAAATGAAAATCCGTGGTCTAGGCTAGCCGGGATCTGACTTCGAAGTTTTCAGACACATTTGGCACAAATGTCGAATTTCAGATCTACACATTGATTGAAACCTATCTCATCTACCGCATTGAAACCCATTCCAACCCCAACCAACCCATTTACAGCCTCCAACCCCCTTCAAAATCGACCCCTAGCTGCTAATTCGTCATTTCCCACGAATAATTCCCGCTTCCAATAGCGTTCCTCCCGCCCACTCGTACTTCTCTCTCTAGCTGAAATGTCTACCCCACCTCCCGCCCTACCCGCCGTTCGGACTCAGAAGAATGCTGCTAGGGGCACGTCATAGTGAGAATACGGAGTAGTTTTTTCCTCACCCTGCCCGGAAAGTTTTTTCCCTGCCCGAAAAAGCGTATCTCCACATCGACCCCCTAGCGGATAGCGTACATACGCTAGCGTATATACGATACGCGTATATACGCTATAAGCGTATTTGGCAACTTAGCACCATATTATAGCCCTTGGGCACGGGAGGCTCCGGCATGTTCCCGAGCACCACACCCGGCATCAGATCCTCGCGGGAACGCCAGTGGCGCACAACGTTCCAGTTGTGCGCAACGAAAACCAGATCCCGGCAGAGCCAAGTCGGTTGCGGCGGGCCGTGTGCACTGAATCCCACGTTGCCCATCCCCGCTGACATGATGAAGCCGACACAGGCTGAGAGAGAGTCCTGATGGTGAGGGCCGCCAGCTGTGGTGCGTCAGTGCCGTGCCACTGCCACCGCTTGACCATGTCATACGTGCCCTCCTTGACCATTTTCCTCTGTGCAATTGCATCCCCCATCTCGAAACTTCCCGTCATATCCAGAAATGCCCTCACGCCGCCCTGTAGTGCAATCAAGACGTCCTCGCTCTCATTCCCATCATTCCCCTCCTTCCCGCGGCTCTTGAGGTGCTTGTTGATGAACTCTTTGATTACCTTTGCGCACTCTTCGAAAATATCTTCATCCTGATTAGCCGGGTTGAGAGTCCGGCCCGCAACGTGCATGGAGCAGGCCAGGCTGACATCCCACCTGTTCTTCAGGATGCGGCGAATGTCCACTTTGTCGGAGTAGCTCAGATGCTCCTCATCCTCCTCCACCGCGGTCCCCACATCCTCGGTAACTGCAGCACTATTGGTCTGCCGCATTGCCATGAACGGGAGCTTCAGCAGCTTGCAAAAGAACTCCGCCGACCGCCACCACGCGGCATCAAGAACAAGCGCTGCAAACGACTCCGCTGCCGCCTTCCGCGCCCCAACTGCCCAGCCCTTCCACAGATCGGACACCACCATGTGTGCAAGCGACTGCCGCATCTCATAGAGACGGGACACTGCAATGTAGTGTGTCCACGACCTTCTTAGCCCAACCCATCTCACTGCAATGTACTGTGTCCACGACCTTCTTAGCCCAACCCATCTCACTGCAATGTACTGTGTCCACGACCTTCTTAGCCCAACCCATCTCACTGCAATGTACTATGTCCACGACCTTCTTAGCCCAACCCGTCTTGCCGGCGTCCTCCATGAGGAGGTCCATAACGTGGGTGGCGCACGGCACGTGTTGAATGCTATACGAGTATCACGTATAATACGCTAGCGTATTATACGCTGGGTATATACGCGGTACGCCAAGGGTGGCGTACTGGTGATACGTAAAAATACGCTGGGCGGGCAGGTAAAACCTTTTTCCCAGGCAGGGCTAAAAAAACCTGTTTCAGGGGGAGGGTTATGTTTCCCAAAAACACGTCATAAATTATTTTCATAAATATCCAGAAATACATCTTTGAGGCTACTTCTCCCCACCCCATACATCCCCACCCCACCCTCATAGCTAGCTTCCCCACAGCCGAGTTCCTTGCGGGGCTTTTCCAACACCACCCCTGCCCCGTACTCATCCGCCAAAACTGCATCCTGTCCTTCCGCCCCCAGCAGGTCATCCTCCTCCTCCTCGTCCATGTTGTAGCCGCGAGGGATAGGGGCATCCGGGATGTTACCGGGGACAACCGTGCTGCCCCCATCCTTGTTGTACCAATTGCGGACAACGTTCCAGTTGTGCGCAATGTAAACGAGGTCCGCACACTTGGCGGACCCGAGGCGGTTGCGGCGGGCGGTGTGGACGCCTTCCCACTGCGCCCAGCCACGTTTGCATGGGGAAGCCGAGACGGGCTGAGTGAGCACCCGGCATGCGAGGGTGGCAAGCTCAGGGTACTCGGTGCTGTGCCACGACCACCACTGCACCATGCTCATCTCCCCCCTTTTCACTGCCTCCCTTGCAGATATGGCGGCCGGCGTGCCAAAGCTACCCTCCATGTTGATGTAGGCCAGCAATGCCTCCTGCAGCACAAGGGAGGCGCGGCGAGGGGCGCCATCCTTGCCACGCCTGAAGGTTTTGTTGTCGTAGTGGCGCTCGATGTAGGCCTTGAACACTCGAGTGCACTCCACATCATTCCTGAAGATTCCCTCCACCTGGTTGGCCGGATTCAGGATCCGGCCAACCACATGCATGGGGCAGGCAAGGGAGTTGTCCCACCTGTCCTTCACAATCTTGGTGATATCTGCCTTTTCCGCCCGAGTCAAATAGTCGCCTGCCTCGTCCAACTTGTCATTAATGTCTTCGGTAAGTTGTAGCATGATATCATACATTTTACCCATCATCCCCTTCGCCGAGGAGTCCGTGGCCCGCATAGCCTTGTACAGCACCGCCATGAGAGAGGTAAAAAACACCGCCAGCCCCCACCACTCCTCATCCATCACGGCAGCCCTGAAATTCTCGGCTGCAATCTTCCTGTCCTTGTCCCCCACTGCCCACTCATTCCACGCGTCGCTGAGAACCATCTGCGCCAGCCCACCTCGCACCTCGCACAGCCGGGACAGAGCTATGTACTGCGTCCCTTATCTGGTCCCCGCGGGCTTGAGCACCTGTTTCCCCCCACCCTTCTTCATGTAAGCACGGGTGAAGTGGTGGTTGCGCACAAAGTTAATCATCATCCCCCCCTTCTCCACGAGCCCCTTCGCCCATCCCATCTTGCCCACGTCTTCCATCATCAGGTCCAGGACATGCGTGGCACATGGCACATGCTCAATGTGCGGCCATGTGCTCGCAATCTTCTTGGCTGCCGAGGCATAGTTGCTGCCGCCATCAGTGCAGACCGCCACCACATTCTCCGGCCCCACCTTATCAATGACGGGGCGGAGAGGGCTGGCGATGTACCCCCCGGTCTTCGACTCCATGTTGCAGTCCACCGCCTGCTCGAACACTGCGCCGGAGTTGTTGACAAGGAGCACGTTGGCCTGCGGGCGGCCACAACGGTCGGTCATCATGTCCGACGACGCGGTGACCCCGTCCCGCTTCCAGCTCGCGGCAACGGGGGCGAGCGCCTCCTCCATTTTCTGCCGCACCTTCTTCAAGCCCGCCCCTCCAATGTAGCGCCTGTTGGGGGGGACGTACCCCGGTCCACCGCGCGCAAAGCACTGGACCGCGTAGCGGAAGACCGGGTCATCCACGATGCGCTCGGGAAAACTTAACGCCGCGATCAAAAGGCAGAGGGCGTTATCCGCGTCCTCCTTGGCGCTCGTCGCCTCATCGCTGAAGAAGGCTGTTATCTTCCCCTTCTTCTCTGAAGAACCACTGACCGCGCCCAGCGCGGAGTCAATTGCTGCAGCGGCCGCCCCTCGTTTGACGCCCTGCTTCTCCACCTTCTCCTCGTACATGCCGCGCACTTTTTCACTGACTGCCGGGGACACCTTCTTGCAAAGCCGGACAGCGCGTTTCTCCTGCCCTTTCCATTTCGCAAGGTGAGCCGCGCAGCGATTGGTTCCGCCCTCAAACGTGAAGTCACAGAACTTACACATCTTGGGAGTGCCTTTAGTATGGTACGGAATAAGGAAATGTTTCAGAATGGGGTTCGAAAGGCCAGCCTCGACAGGCTCCCTATTGATTGCGCCATTAGAAGAGTTAACAGACGCAACATTGCTCGTCGCAGCAGGAGGGGTGGAGTTAGACGCCATGAGGACGAACAGGAGACGAGAGCTACGGGAATAAAAACGAGCACTGCTATTGAATGAAACAAAGGAACTCGTCATCCATTATATGAGGAGACGAGTTGCTGGACAACATTTCAGAGGGATGGTTGGAGATGAGAGGTTTGGTGGGGTGGTGTGTGGTTGGGGGGTTGGAAGGTTTGGAACTCGAAATTTGAATTTCAGAACTGGGTTGGGCGATGTGCGACAATCGCGGTAACAAATCGCGAAGTCGCAAAACCTTCGCGAAATTTTTCAATTTCGATTTTTTTTTTTGGCGGTCTGCCCGAGCGTATCTCCAAGAAATACGAGCGTATTGGCGTACCACGTACATACGCAAGCGTATGTACGTGGTACGCAACCCTGCCCAGGGCGTATCTGCCAACGTAGGTTGAATGTGCGCCCACTCCACCATCAACTCCTCCTGGCAGCCCACCCAGTACTTGGACCCACCGCGCATGCACAACGCCACTATGTTCTGTGGACCGACCTCCGCCACCGCAGGCCTGAGGATGCTCGCGACGTAGCCGCCGGCTTTGGTCTCCATGCGGCAGTCATCGCTGTCGTTGAACACCGCGCCGCTGTCATTGATGAGTTCTTATCAATCATCGTGTCTGAAGATGCTGTCACTCCGGTCCGCTCCCAGCTCGTCTTCACTCCAGCACGGCCGTGTTGCTTCTCCACCAGGCGTGAGCCCACGGGTGGTATCCGTGCTGCGAGCTCATTGTAGCCTGCTGTCCGTCCTCATCGTGCTCACGTGCTCAATCTGTACTCTTGCCTTTCTCATACTCCCTGCCTTCCCCTCACGTGTGGCGGAGGCAGCGCACACGCTGCTGCGCAAGCCGACTCGGCCGAAGGCCGAATGAGTTTGTGAAGAGAGCACAGAGTCCTGAAGTGCGATGGCGGATGGCAGAGGGCATAGGGCTCTTTAGTCTAACGCTGTCTCTCCCCCTTGCCCCCTCACTGCGTGTGCCTGCCTGTGTGCGTGTGCGCGTGCACCTCTCCAGCAGTGTCCACCCCGCCGGAGCCAGAGGCAGTGCGGGCAGCAGAGGCAGCTGAGGCACGCGCTGCAGCAGAGGAGCCTTCTCCGCACGCGCCCGCACAGCAGAGCCCCCCCCACAGCCCCACCGCCACAGTCAAGCTCGGCTTCCAGGGCCCCCAGGTGTCTGGTCCTCCTCAGGTGTCTGCTGCTCCTCAGGTGTCTGGTCCTCCTCAGGTGTCTGCTCCTCCTCAGGTGTCTCCTCAGGTGTCTGCTGCTCCTCAGGTGTCTGCTGCTCCTCAGGTGTCTGCTGCTCCTCAGGTGTCTGCTGCTGCTTGGGCAGAGTTTGAGCGAGCAGGCAGTGCAGGCGAGGTGGGGGATGGCGGCAAGGGGGCGAGTGAGAGGGCAGAGGGGCAGGGCGGGCGAGTGGAGGGGAGCAGGGCGGTGGAAGCGGAGAGCATGGGTGGGCTGGCGGGGCACGGTGGGGGGGAGGGGAGTGAGGCGGACGGTGATCGCCAAGGGCAGGGGCAGGCGAGAGAGGGAGGCGCGGGTGGAGGCGCGGGTGGAGGCGCGGGTGGAGGCGCGGGTGGAGGCGCGGGTGGAGGCGCGCGGGCGGATGAGGCGGTGACAGGCGTGCTTGCTGACAGTAGCCGTGGTAATGCGGAGGATGAGAAGGAGATAGACAGGGTAGGAAACGAGGAGAGGGATGGGGGTGTGGAAAGGGAAAGGGAGGAAAAGGAAGGGGAGGAAACGGAAGGGGAGGAGAGAGATAGCGAGGAGAAAGCTGAGAAAGAGAAGTATGGGGCGGAGAGGGGTGGAGAGGAGAGGGATGTGGGGGAGAGTGATGGGGAGAAGAGAGGATGGGAGGAGATTGAAGGAGAAATGAGAGAAGAGGAGGAGAGCAGAGAAGAGAGAGAAGGGGAGGAGAGGGGAGGGGATGGGACAGATGGGGAAAATAACGACAAGGAGAGAGAAGCTGATGAGAGTGAAGGGCCAGGGATGGAACGAAGGGAAAGAATGAGGAGCGAAGAGAAGGCGAGAGATGATGACGAGAGGGGAGGAACGGAGAATGAGGAGTTGAGGAGTGACGGGAAGGTCCCGAAGGAGAGTGTAGAGAATAGGGAGAAAGGGAAGGTGAATGATGAAAAGAGGAGGGATGGGAGCGAGAGAGAATCGAACAGGAGGGAAGGGAAGGACAGGGATGGAGAGGAGAGAGGTCGAGAGAGGCCAGATGGGAAGGAGAGCGATTGGAAGGAGAGAGATGGCAAGAGGGAACGGAAGGGGAGAGAAAGAAGTCGAGATTTGAAGGAGAGGGAGCGGAAGAGGAGAGATGGGAAGCACAGAGAAGGGCGGGAGAGAGAATGGAAGAAGAGGGAAGGTAGGGAGCGAGAAGCAAGGAAGAGGGAAGGGAAGGAGAGATACAGAGAGAGCTACGTACAAAAGTGGAGATACAAGGAGAGAGATAGTAAGAGGAGAGAAGGAAAGGATAGAGATGGTAAGGATAGAGAAGGAAAGCAGCGAGACTCGAAGGAACGAGGAGGGAAGGACGAAGAGGGGAAGAGAAGAGAAGGGAATGAGAGAGAAGGGAAGGAAAGAGATGGAAAGAGAAGAAAAGGGAAGGAGAAAGAAGGGAAGGATGGCGGAGGTAAAGAGAAGGGAGTAGAGAATGAAAGAAAGGGGAGAGAAGAGATCGAAAGGAAGGAGAAGGAAAGAGGAGAAGATAGCAAGTTTGGTGAGGCCCAAGACGATAGCAAGTTTGGTGAGGCCCAAGACGATAGCAAGTTTGGTGAGGCCCAAGACGATAGCAAGTTTGGTGAGGCCCAAGACGATAGCAAGTTTGGTGCGGCCCAAGACGATAGCAAGTTTGGTGAGGCCCAAGACGATAGCAAGTTTGGTGAGGCCCAAGACGATAGCAAGTTTGGTGCGGCCCAAGACGATAGCAAGTTTGGTGCGGCCCAAGACGATAGCAAGTTTGGTGCGGCCCAAGACGATAGCAAGTTTGGTGCGGCCCAAGACGATAGCAAGTTTGGTGCGGCCCAAGACGATAGCAAGTTTGGTGCGGCCCAAGACGATAGCAAGTTTGGTGCGGCCCAAGACGATAGCAAGTTTGGTGCGGCCCAAGAAGGCCACGTGGTGGTGGGCGAGGGAAGCGGGAAGTCGTGTGCGGTGGTGTGGGAGAAGGATGAGGTGGTGCGCACTGTGCGCGTGGGGAGTGCGGGTGTGGGGTGCAGGGAGCAAGTGCGCGGTGGTGAGAGCAAGGCGGAGCAGCGCGACACAGAGGAGAGGGGGGGACGAGCTGAGTCTCCATCGCAGAGGCAGGGGGGTTCTGTGGGGGAGGTGGGAGGGGTGGGTGAGGGCGCAAGTGGTGAGGGGGGTGGTGCTGGTGCTTGGTGTGTGAAGGAGGAGTGGGCATGTGCACCTGACAAGAGTGACTGGGAGGGAGAGATTGGCGGCAGGAGCAAAAAGGGCGAGGTTGAGAAGAACGGCGAGAGTGAGAAGAAGGGAGAGAGTGAGATGAAGGGTGAGAGTGAGAAGAAGGGTAAGAGTGAGAAGGGTCAGAGTAAGAAAAATGGTGATTGTGAAAAAAAGGGTGAGAATGAGAAGGGAGAGAGTGAGAAGGGAGAGAGTGAGAAGAAGGGCGAATGTGAAAAGAAGGGAGTGAGTGAGAAGAAAGGTGAGATTGAGCCTTGTTTGGAAGAGGGTGGGGTGATAGTGGAGGTGGGCGAGGAGGTGGGCGAGGAGGTGGGCGAGGAGGTGGGCGAGGAGGTGGGCGAGGAGGTGGGCGAGGAGGTGGGCGAGGAGGTGGGCGTGGGTGCAGCGGAGAAGGCGTGTGAGTTGACTCGCGTGCTGCTGGGTCCCACGGTGTCGCGTCTTGCTGCTGCATCCGGTGGTGGTGGCATTGAAGATTCGAAGGCGGTGGCCGATGTGATGCTGGCAGGTGGCGGGGCCACGGCAGCGGAGGAAGAGAGAGGGCAGGCAGTGCATGCAGAGGAGAAGCAGGTGGAGGGCGGTGAGGAGGAGGAGGGGCAAGGGGGTAAGGGGAGGGAGCAGGTGAGCATGCAGCAGGAGGGCAGCGGTGAGGGGAGACCAGTGCAGGAGGAGGAGGAGAGGGGAGAGCGGAGGGTAACGGCTGGGAGCTTGGTGGAGGGCGAGGTGGCGGAGGGAGAACGGGATGAGGAAGTGGTGGAAAGTGGGAAGGTAGGAGGCGGGGGACAGGAGCAGCAGGAGGAGGGGGGGGAGGGGCGGCAGCAGCGGTCGGTGTCACCGGGCACGCGGGCGCTGATGTGCGACGAGGAGGACGACCCCGGGGACACGCTCTTCGCCGCCACCTCCTCCCCCCTCGCCCGCTCCAGCGCCCTCGCCAGCAGCGATGCCGATGCTGACCTGGACGATGACGTGGCGAGGGGTGATGTGGCGGATGAGGGGGACGAGCAGGGCGGAGGGGAATGGGGTGCGTGGTGGGATGGCAGGCGGGTGAGTCGCAAGCGCAGTGCAGAGCTGATGGAGGGGGGAGGCGCGGGTGAGGGGCAGCGCGGCATGGGGGCGGGCATGGGGGCGGGCAGCAGCAGCCCCTCCGCCGCTCTGCCGCGCACCACCAGCGCTGGACTTGCCGCCCGCCTGCCGCCCTCTGGGTTCTCGCCCTCACCTGGCAAGGCCAGGAGGAGAAGCCTGGGGGGGCATGGTGTGGGGGGTGGCGGCGGCGTGAGGGGGGGAGAGGAGCAGGTGGATGGGAGGAGGAGCGTGAGTGCCGGCCATGCTGCCCATGCTGCTGCTGCCCATGCTGCTGCTGCCGCCGCTGCTGGCAGTCATCCCTTTGCTGCCGGATGCGTCTCAGGAGCTGCTGCAGGCGCGGCAGCAGCAGAGGTGGGTGTGATGGATGATCCAAGAGTTGCCATCCGCCTCGCTGCCGTGCGGTCGGCACTGGCCATGACAAGGGGTCAGGGGAGAGCGGCGTCGGCAACAGGAGGGGCAAGTGGAGGGGAGGGAGGAGAGCGGATGCAGGCAGTGCAACAGAGGGCGGAGGTGGAGAGGGCGGTGGCGGAGAGGGGGCTACTGGAATTGCTAGAAGACCACCTTCTGCAGATCGCCGCCCACATTGGCGCCCCCGCTTGCTAGGGGCATGAGGGGGAGCAACAGGGATGTGAAGGGCACGTTGCAGACAGCATGTGCGCATGTGGAAGGGCAGTGGAGTGCATGCAGGGCTGACATAGTGGTGCAGGTGCCAGTTGCAGGGCCAAACCGGGTTCCACGTCACGCTTCTGAACCACGGTGCTCGCCCAGAACTACCTGACTCAAAGTGTTGCAGATTCTAGTACCGTCATCACCCGGATATAAGACAGTGTTGAATAGAATACAAGGGGTGTCTTTAAAACGGGTGTCTCTTATAAGTGGGTGTTCATGATTATAAGACACCTGTAGGTGTGTACGAGGGAGGGGGTGTCTTCTAAACAATACCGTAGTAGGGTTTCGGGGTAACCTCATAAGGAGGGGGTATCTACTAAACGGTTCTTTGTCTATTTATAAGATTTACTGGTGTAAGACACTCTAAATCGTCCCAAATACAAAAAATAAACATATTTTCTGGTGTATAAGATAAGACATATATGTCTTGTATCCGGTTCGGGCGATGACGGTACCGTAATCACCCCCACCCATACAGGACCTGCCGGAAAGAGTCTCATCCCATGTTTCATATCCGGAAGGTGTTCTTTTATTGTTGTATATATAAGGTATATGAGGAGGACCCTTTTTTTGTACCTATACTTTTTTTTTTAAGACCCTCACTTGTTGTATATCTTAGTGTTCTAGCACGTTGGTATGCGCTTCCACGTCAGATAGTAGAGAATCGAAATTTGAGACCTGACGTGGTTTTGGTGTCAGACTTGGAACAAATCATCAGATTCATCGTAATTGTGGTTAATTTGGGTTGCTCCAAAAAACATAATGATCACCTTCCGGAGATACATTATAGTAGTGACGAATATACTACCGCATTTGGAATGGTCCACCTCCAAAACAATGAAGATTAGGGTTCTCTCTTGTGTCAAAACATATTGTTATGTTCTTACTCTAGGTTGTGTAGGGTCACACCTTAGAGGGTACAACCCAACTCTCTCGACACTCTTGTACCCCCTCTCCCTCACCTAATCATCATTCCTCACCTAGCTACTAGTGATTCTAACATGGTATTAAGAGCACAATGCTCCTTAGGACCGAATGTTTAAAAGGGCCCACCACTACTATTTCGATCTACTGCCCGAGTCGCGCCCCTAGGAGAAACGCGAAATTCGAAACCGTGCTCTAGGCGAGACGGTTCCTTTTTCTGCCCTAGACGCGATTTTCCTTCCTAGTCACGTGCGACCCCCCCTGACCGCGCCTTAGCTGCCAGTACAGCCCGCGTAGGCCCGTCGCGAAGCCCGTACAGCCCGCGTAGGCCCGTCGCGAAGCCCGTACAGCCCGCGTAGGCCCGTCGCGAAGCCCGTACAGCCTGCGCCAGGCCGTCGCGCAGCCCGTACAGCCCACGTCAGGCCCGCACCCAGCTCGTAAAGCCCGCGCCAGGCCCGCACGCAGCCCTTACAGCCCGCGCCTGGCCCGCACGCGGCCCGTGTTACTGCTGCACTCGCTGCTGCTGCTACACTGCTGCGCCTGAACTGCTGCTGCAGTGCTGCTGCCGCCTGTACTGCCCTGAAACTGCTGCTGCTACTTGCTGCAGCTGCTCCTCCTTGCTGCTGCTGCTGCTACTTGCTGCAGCTGCTCCTCCTTGCTACTGCTGCTACAGCTAGCGCTACTCACTGCTGCTGCTACTGAAGCTAGTGCTGCTACAGCTAGTGCTACTGCTGCTGCTGCTACTACCGCACTTGCTACAGCTGCTACTGACTGAAGCTACGGCTGCTACAGCTAGTGCTACTGCTGCAGCTCCTACTCCAGCACTTACTGCAGCTGCTCCTGACTGAAGTTACTGCTGCTACAGCTAGTACTACTGCTGCAGCTCCTACTACTTCACTTGCTACAGCTAGTGCTACTGCTGCAGCTCCTACTCCAGCACTTGCTACAGCTGCTCCTGACTGAAGCTACTGCTGCTTGACTGAAGCTACTGCTGCTACAGCTAGTACTACTGCTGCAGCTCCTACTACTGCACTTGCTACAGCTAGTGCTACTGCTGCTCTGCCACTGTGTCCGAGCCGCGCCGCCCAGCCCGAGCTGTCACTGCTGCTGCTACTGCAACTACTACTGCTACAGCTAGTGCTACTCGGTCTACTGCTGCTGCTGCTGCTGCGCGGTCTGCTGCTGCTGCCCGAGCCGCCCTGCTACTGCTGCTACTGGAGGGAGTACTGCTGGGAGTGGTGGAGGTGCGGCCTCCCACCCCCACCGAACCGCCCTGCTGCTGTTACTACTGCTGCTGCTGCTACTTGTGCTACTGGGAGTGGAGGAGGTGCTGCTGGGAGTGTAGGAGGTGCTGCTGGCGCTGTAGGAGCTGGAGGTGCTGGACCTACTCCTGACAGTCACTGTCTGTCATGGCCACTTCCGCGGCAGTCGCTGCGGCCAGGGGTGGACAGCAGCGGGCACTGCTTCTCCCGGACGACCCCACCCCTTGGCAGCTTCGTGAGTGGGTTATTCAGCGAGGTCGTCCTGGTGGTGGAGGTTATCGTTCTGTTAAGACCGCTGCTCTTGGTGTTAGTGAGTCTGCTGCCACTCCAGGTGTTAGTCAGTCTGCTGCCACTCCAGGTGTTAGTGAGTCTGCTGCAGCTCTAGGTGCCCGTGAGTCTACCGACGCTCTAGTTGCTAGTGCGTCCACTACCACAGGTCCTGCCTCAGCTGAGGTCTTGCACACTTTCACGCTTGACTCCGGCGCGTCACGTTGCTTCTTCCGTGATTGCACCACAGTCACACCACTCACAGCACCTGTCCCAGTCTCACTGGCTGACCCCTCTGGGGGCCCAGTGGTTGCGAGAGCCTCCACGGTCCTCCCTTGTCCAGCAGTCCCCTCCGGCCCTTTGTCAGGTCTCCACCTCCCCACGTTCTCGACGAACTTGGTGAGCAACGCTGCCATTCAGGATGTCTGGGTTGATACCTTTATTCCTGGAGGGCAGCGTGTGGCGATCTGTACGTGCTCCCGGACTGGCCGTCACCTGGCTACGTTCACTCGACAGCCTGGGTCTAGTCTGTACACACTGACCACTGCGTCTGCACAGGTGGCTGAGTCAGGTCAGGTAGCTACGTCGAGTCGAGCGTCTGCGTCAGGACAGTTAGCTGCGTCTTGCTCGTGCCGAGTACTCACGCACGAGACTCAGCGCTGGCACCACCGTCTTGGTCACCCCTCCCTGCAGCGTCTGCGCCGCATGCACTCCCGGCTCCTGGTCACTGGCCTCCCTGAGACCCTGCCCCCCCTCCCGCGCTCACTTGCGCCGCCGTGCCTTCCTTGCGTCGAAGGGCGGCAGCGCGCCGCTCCTCACTCCTCCGAGTTTCCTCCGACCACTGCTCCTCTGCAGACTCTCCACATGGACGTGTGGGGCCCGGCCCCCGTCGGTGGAACGGACCAGGAGCGCTACTTCCTGCTGGTGGTTGACGACTACACACGCTACACCACAGTCTTCCCCTTGCGGCGCAAGGTGGATGTCAGTGGTGTCTTGATCCCCTGGATCCGTGCTACTCGTCACCAGCTGCGCGAGCGGTTTCGGTGGGAATTTCCAGTCCTGCGTCTGCACTCTGACAGGGGTGGTGAGTTCTCCTCTGGCGTCCTTGAGACGTTCTGCCAGGATAAGGGCATCGCCCAGTCGTTCACGCTTCCGGCCTCTCCGCAGCAAAATGGGATCGCTGAGCGTCGCATTGGCCTGATCATGGAGGTTGCTCGTACCTCCATGATCCATGCGGCTGCTCCCCATTTCCTGTGGCCGTTTGCGGTCCGATACGCCGCGCATCAGCTCAACCTCTGGCCCCGTGTCTCTGCTCCAGAGACCTCGCCCACACTCCGTTGGACGGGACAGCCTGGTGATGCGTCGTCGTTTCGGGTCTGGGGCGCGCTCTCCCTTGTTCGCGATACCAAAGCGAGCAAGCTCTCCCCTCGCACTCTCCGCTGTGTCTTCCTCGGCTTCCCCACCGACGCTCCACCCTGGCAGTTCTACCACCCTGCCTCGCGTCGTGTTCTGTCCTCTCAGGACGTCACCTTCGACGAGTCGGTCTGTTACTACCGACTTCACCCGCACGCGTCCCACCCGGTCCCTCTCGCGCCTCTCTTCCTGGTACCAGTCCCCCCCCCGGTAGACCCCCTTCCCCCACAGGGTCCTGCTCCCTCAGGTGTGTCCCAGGTAGACCCACCCCCCTTGGATGAGCCAGTTGAGATCTCTTCTGACTCCTCTGACTCACTTGAGGGGGGTGACGCCGTCGCCGACGACACGGCGACCACTCGCCGCACTCCTCGCTTGGAGACCCCCCCCGGGTTTCCCGCCACGGCCGTCTTCGCCGCCTCCGCAGCCTGCTGCTGTGGACTCTGGAGCTGAGACTACTGGAGCTGGGGCTGGGGGTGGTGAGTCCGGGGGTGCCCGCTCTCCTTGTCTGGCTACACCCCCCGGGTTCCCACCTCTGCCGTCTTCGCCGCCTCTGCAGCCTGCTGCTGTGGACACTGGAGCAGAGACTGAGGGTACTGAGCCTGGGGGTGCTGGGACTGAGGGTACTGAGCCTGGGGGTGCTGGGACTGAGGGTACTGAGCCTGGGGGTGCTGGTACTGAGGGTACTGGACCTGAGGGTGCTTCGACTGAGGGTACTGAGCCTGCGAGTGCTGAGACCGAGGGTCCTGCCTCTGGGGGTACTACGAGTTCGGGTGCTGACTCTGGGGGTGCTGCGAGTCCTTCTGGTGTTGGTGTCGTCGGAGCTCCTACCGGAGGACCTGGAGCTACTGGTGCGGGAGGTACTGGAGGTACTGCTGGTGCTGGAGGTCCTGGAGGTGCTGCTGGTGCTGGAGGTCCTGGAGGTGCTGGAGGTACTGGAGGTGCTGCTGGTGCTGGAGGTCGGGGAGCTGCAGGTGCTGCTGGTCCTGGTGGAGCTCCTGGTGCTGGAGGTACTGGAGGTGCTGCTGGTGCTGGAGGTCGTGGAGCTGCTGGTGCTGGAGGTACTGGAGG